GTCACACCTCACTCTTTACTTTGAATGAAACTGGGAAGTAAATAAATCAGACCATGAGGCTTTTGTGTGAAATGGTTCTGGGAGATATTTGTAAAAGGCTTGACAGGGAATGTTTCGCAACAGAAACATGAAGTCATCCAATGAAACTGATTGGGAGCAGCTTGCAAAGAGAGCACTTTTTTGTACATGGCTTAAATAGCCAACACTACACTTGCACAGTATAAATCCACAGTGATGTAATTACAAGTGGTTGCTGTCCACCATCCTCCTGCATTGCACAATTGATGATATATCTAGCCGTGGGTCTTTTTTATGGTCCCCTTGTGCAAAGAGGAATGCACAGCAGCGGATGTTTCTGCCATCCCGGTAAATCTTATCGAAGGCAGAAGCAAATCTAAGAATGCACAACTGCATGGTTGCAATCCTGTTTGTTAAAACCCCAAGTAGAGTAGACCCATTCAATGAGTTCTCAAAAGATAAGCAACATAGCAATACAAGAGTTGATTTGGTGGCTCTGTTCCAGTTGGGACTAATGCTTATACTAATGGAACACAGCTGACACAACCATGAAATGAATGGACTGGTTGTACAAGGGCCAAATGTGTGCTGTGTTCAGGATACACTACATATGTTATGACATTCTATGTATCACCCCAGTTTCAGGAAGACCTCCTCAGATAGTTAATTGTATCTCCTTTTCGGTTCCCAGCTAACATAACAACCAATAACACCTTGGACATTCTACATATATGTATATAAACCCCACTTGCCCAGTTTCCAACTGTTCTGTCACACGCTGGGCCTGTAAAGAATTACCTTTAAAATAGGACATGCAACTTGAGCCCAGCGGGAAGCCAGGGCCCCCCGAAGAGAAGTTCTCAAGGATTTTCCACCACAAATGGTCTTTAGATGGCTTGTGAAGTATAGTCCTTTCTTAATGAACAATCAAACAGAAACTTCTCTTGTCTTCAATAAAGTTAAACAAATGCTTCCAGGCTTTTATGAAACTGGTGGCTTCCTAATCTTGTCCACGAAGGACAGGCAATTGTCTTCAGTAACTGTTACTTTACTTTAAAGAAAATCCCTTTTTAACTTCTCCCAGGCTGACTGTAATCTAATCCTTACTGATGTGGGCTCCGCTACCGGGTCGAACTGCATCTCGAGCACCGAGTGGACCTACCAGTAAGGCCAGTAGATTCTCCAGCTGGAGTTCTTTGGTCTTCCAAACTGTTTACCCTCCGAAATTCCTCAAAGCTTTAGGGCTGATTCCCTGGAAATCTTTGGAGATCTTTGGATGCTCTTAAGACTGTTCTCCCCCGGAAAGTCTTAAGGGTTGAAGCTTTTGTACAGGAGAAGCTTGTACACGTCCTTTAAATTAGCTTTCCTTACTGAGACTAACTAAAAATGGCTCCCTTCCCAATTGCCCTGAACAAGGGGCGGAACAAAAACTTAACGATGATGGACAGGTGACTTGCCCTACGACTGCAACCAAAGGAAGCCACCTTTCTGCAGAATCCCTGAAACCTTGGACTGCAAGCAAACATTTAATACAAAGCAAATAAAGTTGGAGCTCCTGGTACAGCCGTACCAGCACACCAACAGACCTCACAACTACTGAGGGTGCCTGCCATAGATGTGGGCAAAACATCAGGAACGAATGCTTCTGGAACATGGCCATACAGCCCAGAAAATGTACAGCAACCCAATAACAATATAGTCTAGACATGGCAAACTTCAGCCCCCCAGGGGTTTTGGACTTCAAGTCTCACAATTCCTAACAGCCTACTGGGAGGGCCTAAGTTTGCCCATGCTGCTTTAGAGCCTACCCAGAGAACAAAGTTGGTAGCACAAGCTTCCACAGACTAAGTCCAGCTCTACATTGTATACTAGATGCAAGTTGATAGCACTCTACACCAAACTTTGCTCCTCCCGGGATGTTTTTGGGCTTCAGCATACAGAATTCATGGTTGTTGTAAGGTTTTTGGATAGTTGAGATCCAAAACACTTGCAAGACCCAAGTTTGAAGACACCTGCCTCTTAGATGTGTGGTTATAGAATCATAGAATCATAGAGTTGGAAGAGACCTCATGGGCCATCCAGTCCAACCACCTGCCAAGAAGCAGGAATATTGCATTCAAAGCACCCCTGACAGATGGCCATCCAGCCTCTGTTTAAAAGCTTCCAAAGAAGGAGCCTCCACCACACTCCAGCAGAGAGTTCCACTGCTGAACAGCTCTCACAGTCAAGAAGTTCTTCCTCATGTTCAGATGGAATCTCCTCTCTTGTAGTTTGAAGAAACTAAGCTGAGATGGTTTATCCAATGCCGTTTTCTGAATAAGTGCTTCAAATAACTCCAGAACCGGGTCTAAAAACCAAGACACCACCATCGAATCTTTTGTTTGACTGTATAATTATTCCACGTGAATATCCTTTCATCATGAACTCTCAAGGTGACCATCTAATCCTGTTTCCCCATCACCAATATTAAGATGGAATTGAAGGAAGGTTGGGAGTCTATGTAGACAGACACTGTGAGACCAGAGATAGTCATAGATAGAGCTGTCGCCAGAACTTATCTCTTATCTCTAGACTTTATGAGAAGTGATTTGGAAGAACCTTCCCCCTTTCTTTTCCTGCCCCATTTTGCCTGGCCCCAGTCCTTTGAGGCTTCTTGATAGTCACGCCTTTGGATCCTTTGAAACTATCTCTGGAAGCATTTATAGCAGGGAGAGACTCTAAAAGTAAACACACTTTCCAATTGTTTGTGACTGAGTCAAGCGATAAAGATAGGGGTCATTCTGCAAGCAGAAGAACTTGGGAAAGTTTCTGGACTACAACTCCCAGCTGCCCCCAGTCAGATGGTGCATTTACACTGCATAAATTAGAAAATGTTGACCATTTCCGCTACCTCGGCAGCCACCTCTCCACCAAAGTCAACATCGACACCAAAATACAACACCTCCTGAGCTCTGCGAGTGCAACATTTTTCTGAATGAAGCAGAGAGTGTTTGAGTACCGGGATATCCGTAGGGATACAAGGTGCTTGTTTATAAAGCTATTGCCCTCCCAACCCTGATATATGCCTGTGAGACGTGGACTGTCTACAGACGTCACATGCAACTCCTAGAACAATTCGATCAGCGTTGCCTCTGGAAAATCCTGCAAATCTCTTGGTAAGACAGACAGACAAACGTCAGCATGCTGGAAGAAGCAAAGACCACCAGCACTGAAGCGATGGTCCTTCGCCATCAACTCTGCTGGACCAGCCATGCTGTCTGGATGCCTGACCACCGTCTCCCAAAGCAGTTGCTGTACTCCAAATTCAAGAATGGAAAATGGAATGCTGGTGGACAGGAAAAGAGATTTAAAGATGGGCACAAAGCCAACCTTAAAAACTCTGGCATAGACACTGAGAACTGGGAAGCCCTGGCCCTTGAGCGCTCCAGCTGGAGGTCAGCTGTGACCAGCAGTGCTGCAGAATTTGAAGAGGCACGGATGAAACGTGCCAAGAGGAAGGCTCATCAAGCCAACCCCAATCGAGACCGCCTTCCACCTGGAAACCAATGCCCTCACTGTGGGAGAAGATGTAGATCAAGAATAAGGCTCAACAGAACACTAATCCTGGAAGACTATCCTACTTGGCCAACGAGGGATCGCCTAAGTAAGTAAGTAAGTAAGTAACACTGCATATTCAATGCAATATATTGTGCACTCAATGCAATATTTTGCTATGGCTTGATGATATAATCCTGGGATTTGTAGTTTGGCGAGGCATCAGCTCTCTCAAGAAGAGAGAGCTAAAGACCTTGTAAAACTACAAGGATTCCATAGCAGTGAGCCATGGCAGTGTAAGTGGTGTAACACTGCATTGATTTTACAGTTTAGGATAGTTTTGGCAATATATTACCCCTTCAGTGGAGCAGGTAGCAAAGTGATTGATTTTGTATTGAGACTTCGTGTGCTGGTTCTGAAAGAACTTATTTTGTACAAACCATTTAAAATTGCCAGCCAGTGAGAGCTAGATCAAGCATGGGCAAACTTCCAGCTGTATGGAATTGTGGGAGTTGAAGTCCAAAACACCTGGGAAGCCCCAGTTTGCCCATGCCTGATCTAGTACCTACAAACTGCTATGATTATATACTCCAAAAAGGCTTTGAGTCCTTTAAAGTTTGTACTAAAACCCAGAGTGAATTCTTCACCCAGCTGATATAGGAACCACTGATAGCTATGGCACTCCAGTGATGGACTTGCTTGATCTCTCTCTAATTGTGGTGTCTTTTCTCTTGCTCTCCAGAGCCATGCAATTCCACTTCTACTTATTCTTTGCAGTGCTGAACGGGGGCATCTCAACCTATCGGCCCGTGGAAGTATCGCCCTGTGAAATGGTAAGAGCATCGTCAGACTGATTCATCTCGTTAACTAGCTAGCTTGCTTGCATGCTGCCTTGCTAGCTCGAGTTCTAGTTCTACTTCTAGTTCTAGCTATTACTGGGAGAGTGCATACTGCACAGTTGTGCAATTGTACAGGAAAAGATCTGATTAATGAAGTCTCCAAAACTGGGCGATGCAGTTGGCTTCTTAAATGTTTTGTCTACTTTCACCCCAGTTTGATGTTATCTCCTTTAGGTTTGGTAATATCCTATGCATCAGCTAAGTTTTTTCCCCCCTCATCTGTTGTTCAGCAATCACTACACAAGCACACACTTGCAGGCATTGTATGAACCTGGAAAAACACTACTTTTATTTGGATGACAACTCCCAGCATCTGGCTATGATGGATGTTCATAGTATTCTGGGACTTACAATCTCCCTTCTTGGCCTCCTCCTCAAACTTTAGCTCTATTACCAAGTTGAAGCTTGGAGTTAACTAGAAATTGAGTTAACTAGAAGAAAAAGGGTGTTCAGTTCAGTTGAGGTCTCCAAAACACACCCCTGAACTCAGATATTCTTAATTTTGAGGCTATACCAAGACTCTTCGGCAGAGGAAATTCAAAACCTTGCAAAACTACAAGTCCCAGGAGTCCATAGCATGGAGCCAAAGTGGTGTCCAACTGCATTAATTGTACTGTCTATATCAGGCATGGGCAAACTTCAGCCCTCCAGGTGTTTTGGACTTCAACTCCCACAATTCCTACCAACTATTAGGAATTGTGGGAGTTGAAGTCCAAAACACCTGGAGGGCCGAAGTTTGCCCATGCCTGGTCTAGATGCACCCTAAAACAACTTTAGGGATGGAACTAATATTCTCCGCTGCTGATTCATGACCCAAAAATGGGTTTCCTAACACCTCAAAAAACCTCAATAAGAAGGAACAGCACAGTGGTAAGAATATTGTGTAATTTTCAATATCCTATTTCCCCCACAGAAATAATTCTGTGCAGAAATGCTCACGTATCATTTGTATAAACATCATAATATTATTACTTGAATAATAATAATAATAATAATAATAATAATAATAATAATAATAATAATTCTGGCAGCCCAAGAACAAGCCATTAGAASCAATGTCATCAAAGCCAGAATTGAAAAGTCGACGATAGATCCCAAATGTAGACTCTGCCAGGAAGCAGATGAAACAATAGATCACATCCTCAGCTGCTGCAAGAAGATCATGTAGACAGACTACAAGCAGAGGCATAACACCGTAGCTCAGATGATTCATTGGAACTTGTGCCACAAATACCATTTGCCTGCGACCAAGAATTGGTGGGATCACAAGCCAGAAAAAGTTACAGAAAATGAACATGTCAAGTTACTCTGGGGCTTCCGGATTCAGACAGCCAGAGTTTTGGAGCACAACACTCCTGACCTCATGATCGTGTTAAAAAACAAAGTATGGATTGTCGATGTTGCAATCCTAGGTGACAGCAGGATTGAGGAGAAACAACTGGAAAAGATGACACAATATAAGGATTTAAAGATCGAACTGCAAAGACTGTGGCACAAGCCAGTCAATGTGGTCCCAGTGGTGATCGGCACACTGGGTGCAGTGCCTAAAGACCTTGGCTTGCACTTAAATACAACTGGTGCTTACTGGGATCTGCACGCATTATTTGCCGATACATCACACAGTCCTAGACACTTGGGAAGTGTCTGACGTGTGATCCAATGCAACAACCAGCAGAGTGATCTTGTCTGCTGTGGACTCATCTTGTTGTGTTTCTAATAATAATAATAATAATAATAATAATAATAATAATAATAATAATAATGGTTATTATTATTCGCCAATGCATCACATAGTCCATATAACCCGAAAAAACCTACAACCACCCAGTGATTCCGGCCATGAAAGCTTTCGACAATACAATAATAATAGTAATAATAATAATAATAATAATAATAATAATAATTCCAGTGCTGCAGATATGGGAGTCATGCTATAAATTCATACAACTTGGTTGTACATGCATCTCTCTCTTTGGCCCCAGTCCATCAAGGGGTCCTCTTGCATTAGCTTATATGTGTATAAATGTGTCTCTCTGCCATCAAATCACATATCAATGTATGGCGACACCATGAATTTCTTTGGGCTTTTTAATGGCAAGGAATGAAGCAAGAGCATTTAATGGGATTTCAAGACCTGCTCACAGAGAGGGTCGCAGTGACATTTCTGGCTCGGAAGGCGATCCCGTTGAACGAAACATGAATCCCTTGACCTCCCTTTGTCCTCCCAGAGAGCCCTCCTCTAAGAAAGAGGAACACACTTGGAGTATCCTGCCTTTGCTTTATTTTTTTCCAAACAAACAATTCTAACATCTCTTTTTTTTCAAAGAGATGTTAAAATTGTTTGGTTGGAAATTGCCTTTGCAATTTGTTTTAGCCTTCTCTGCCGAAGAGTGCTGGTGTCTCACCAAACTACAACTCCCACGAACGCACAGCCTCGAGCTATCGCAGTTAAAGCAGTATCAAACTGCAATAGTTCAACCTTATAGATGCATCCGTAGATCAGCTTTTCTTCCAGAGTTCTTTGCGTGCCAGATGTGCTTTCTGGAATCCCTATTTCTTCTTTGCTGCTTTTGGAGAAATGGCTCATAGGGTGCCATTGCCAAACCATGACATTCCAGTGTTTACTATCTTATCCTTCACTCTTTTTCCCCCTCCTGATCTGAATATGGGCAATTTGCAAGGGGCTATTCAGTAGGGAGCCTGACAATTAATTCAGCGTCTTCTGATTTTTTCCAAGTGTTAAAATGTCCTGGCTTTTCTCTCCTCCTCCACTTTCCTCCTTAGTCCTCAGTATATAGAATCATAGAATCAAAGAGTTGGAAGAGACCTCATGGGCCATCCAGTCCAACCCCATTCTGCCAAGAAGCAGGAATATTGCATTCAAATCACCCGACAGATGGCCATCCAGCCTCTGTTTAAAAGCTTCCAAAGAAGGAGCCTCCACCACACTCCGGGGCAGAGAGTTCCACTGCTGAATGGCTCTCACAGTCAGGAAGTTCTTCCTCATGTTCAGATGGAATCTCCTCTCTTGTAGTTTGAAGCCATTGTTCCGCGTCCTAGTTTCCAGGGAAGCAGAAAACAAACTTGCTCCCTCCTCGCTGTGGCTTCCTCTCACATATTTATACATGGCTATCATATCTCCTCTCATCCTTCTCTTCTTCAGGGTAGACATGCCCAGCTCCTTAAGCCGCTCGTCATAGGGCTTGTTCTCCAGATCAAGCCCTCCAGTTCTCTTGATCATTTTAGTCGCCCTCCTCTGGACACATTCCAGCTTGTCAATGGAAGGAGAAGCGTGGGAAAATATTATACCCTATCTTGTAGACCAGGAAGGGGCAAACTTTCTAACTTGGGGGTCACATGGTGGACTGGAGCAGGGTGGGTGGGCCAAGAAGGAGGGGGTTCTCCCCAAGCCCCCTCCCTGCCCTTTCCTCCCCTTCCTCTTCTCTTTCAGAGGTAGAAAGTTGAAGATAAGATGGGAAACCTTTGGATCCCAAAAGGGTCAGTCAGGATGAGATGGTGGATGGGAGGAAAAAAATGTATCCATTAGACCCCTTATTGCTTACTCCTGATCCTAGAATCCTAGAGCTGGAAGAGATCCCCAAGGGCCACCCAGCACAACCCCCTGCGATGCAAGAAGGCACAATCAAAGCACTCCTGATAGACAGCCTCTCCATTAGAGAAAGGCCTCAGAGTGTGAGATAGGCTTCAGTATGAGAAGGCCTGGTGTGAGAAGCTTTGGTGAGAGACATCCCAGGTTGAAGGCCTCGTGTGCGAAGCTCCTATGTAAGTTTGGTGTGAAAAGAGTCTCTGTGAGAGTGAAGCTGTTTATCTGCATGAGAAAGAAGCCCAGTGTGGAAGCAAAGAAGGAAATGTAAAGAACTTTATTTGTGTTATGGGAACCTTGTTTTTGTAAATACTGAATACTGTGTCCAATTCTGGGCACCACAATTGAAGAGAGATGTCGACAAGCTGGAATGTGTCCAGAGGAGGGCGACTAAAATGATCAAGGGTCTGGAGAACAAGCCCTATGAGGAGCGGCTTAAGGAGCTGGACAAGTTTAGCTTGAAGAAGAGAGTCTGAGGGGAGACATTAATAGCCATTAAAGGTAAAGGTTGTCCCCTGACATTAAGTCCAGTCATGTCTGACTCTGGGGTGTGGTGCTCATCTCCATTTCTAAGCCGAAGAGCCAGCATTGTCCGTAAACACCTCCAAGATCATGTGGCCGGCATGACTGCATGGAGCGCCGTTACCTTCCCGCCGGAGCGGTACCTATTGATCTACTCACATTTGCATGTTTTCAAACTGCTAGGTTAGCAGAAGCTAGGGCTGACAGCAGAAGCTCACGCCGCTCCCCGGAATCGAACCTGCGACCTTTCGATCAACAAGCTCAGCAGCTCAGTGCTTTAACCCACTGCGCCACCGGGGGCTCCTTAATAGCCATTAGACATGTGCAATCCATGTTTCTAAAGTTCTGGTTGTGAAAACTAGGGGGTGTTTGTGCTTTGCTTCTACAGTGTTGCTAAAGTTCTGGTGGTGAAAATTTCAGAACTCTAACAAAACTTTCAAAATTTCATTATTATTTCATTATTGGTGATTTTTATGACAGAACCTATTAGGAGCTGCCATTTATAATGAAATTTTGAAAGTTGTGTTAGAGTTCTGAAAGTTTCACCATCAGAACTTTAGCAACACTGTAGCAGCAAAGCACCAGTGCCCCCTAGTTTTCACCACCAGAACTTTAGTTTTGTAAGTACTTTAGAACCATTTAGAACCATGGGTTGCACATTCCTAATAGCCATGTATAAATATGTGAGGGGAAGTCATAGGGAGGAGGGAGCAGGCTTGTTTTCTGCTGACCTGGAGACTAGGACACGGAACAATGGCTTCAAACTACAAGAAAGGAGATTCCATCTGAACATTAGGAATAAGCTCCT